TTTTCCTCTGAAAAGGCAGGAAAATTCTGAAATAAGTCCTCTCTCAAGTTGTTCCTGCTGAAAGCTGCTAATATTTTCCTAATTGTTTTGATAGTTACTTAATTAAGAGTTGTATATGATGATTGATGGTTCAGCGACTCTCAAAACTGATATCATCAAGGAAACTTTTAATTAATATTCTCTCCTGGACCTATGGTATAAAATATGCTGATTACTAAACAGACTGCATTTATGAAATAATTGTTCATTGTCAAAGAGACATTTATAATTTCCAATTAAAGTTGCTAATTAGCATGAACATCATGAGTTTCTCTTGCTGAATTGATATAGTACTAGACTAAAACAAAAAAGAAGAAATTTTAATTAGTCTGTGCCATCTTAATGCTGATAAATTTGCATTCTTTTTCGGCTCTTTAAAAGATTGAAAACATATTTGAGACACCAATTACAATCAACACGGAAGGATTCAAAGCGGTCCAGGCACCCACTGTGAACCACAGAGAAATAATCTTTGAACTTTCTTTTTCTAAAAATGGAATTATAATCGCTTTATAGTTCATTTAAAAACTTTTACCCAACTTTATATAATACAAATACAACTATCTGAATTTCTGTATGGTGATTTTATGATTATGAAGTTAAAGCGGCAAATATGAATGTTTAAATATCTTGTGGATTAAAGAAAACTTCTATCTTTAGGGTTTCAATGCTTCTGGAAATGTACAACCTTCTAGAAACTAGCAGTTTGCTTTCCTTTGGCAAAATTAATCTTGAATGTGAGGAGCTATGATTAAATAATTGCATTTTGTGTTTGTAACTTATTATCCAGTAATTAAAATGTGCATTGATGTACTAAATAAAAAATGAAACCGATATAGTCACTATCCACATTATGTAATAAAATATTACCAATAGAGTTGTAAGCACTATGTACTTTTCCAGAGTTGAATCTTTCTCCTTTATTTGGGTGAACCAGTACTCTAAATTTAGATCTTATTATTTCTTTGTATTTATTTCTTGTTCTTTTCTGTTACTTTTATTTACTTCTGTTTTTACTGTGTATGTATGTGTGTGTATATATAAATACATACAATATATAATATTGAGGAATATAAACTCTTGAGGAATATGAAACACTGTTCTTAATATTTCAATTGTATGCACATGAAGCATGTATATGTTTTCTGAGTCTTGATTTTTTTAATGTTTATTTATTTGTTTGGGGAGACAGAGAGAGAATGGGCACAAGCAGGGGAAGGGGAGAGAGAGAGGGAGAGCGAGAATCTCAAGCAGGCTCCACACGGGTTTCGATCCCATGAATCATGAGATCATGACCTGAGTCAAAACCAAGAGTCGGACGCTAACTGAGCCACCCAGGTGCCCCTTGAATCTTGATTTTCTATCAATATTAGAAATATGAGATTCATCCATATTAAAAACCAAGCAACATTTGTTTCTTAATTCTTAACATCATACACTAACCTAGTTTATGAAAGGATCAAAATTTAGTCTTCCACTCACCTCTTGATGAGTATTTGTGCAGTTTCCACATCTTTGTCATTACAAACAACGCTACTGTGAACATTCTTGTCAATATACCGTTGAGTTCCTTTAGTTGTCTGTCTACCTCTTATTGGAATCTTTAAAAAAAATCCTTTACTTATTTTGGATAGTATCCATTGTCTCTTTTATGTGTTGTGAATATCTTTTTCCAGTTTATGTCTTAGTTCTGTATTTTCTTGAGGTGTTTCTTGGTGAATACATATTGTTAATTTTGACGAAGTCAAACTCTTTATTGTTTATGTTCTGTGCCTTTCTTATCTTGTTAAAGTGCTCCTTCTCTTCTTGGATGTCATAAAGATATAGTTCCATATTTTTGTTTTAAAGCTAATTTTTACCCACATGTTGTTAATATACATAGAATTAATTTTATGTACAATTTAATGGGTCAATATATTTTTACTTCCTTCTATATTGATAACAATGACACCAATATCACTTGTTAAATAGTCCAACCTTTCGCCACTAATTTGTAACACTATTTCAGTCATACATATATTTTATATCCATGCATCAACATTTCTGGGCTTTTAATTTTGCTCTACTCTTCTGTTTTCCTATACCTGTTCCAATACTATAGTGGTATACTAGCTACTGTTTTACAGTAAACCTAGATATTTGATATTTAAGTCAATAATATTCCATCTTTTACCATTAAGTATAGTGTGAGCTATAGATTTCCTTACAGAAGACTTTCATTAGCATGGGGATGTTACCTCTATTCCTAGTTTGCTGAGACTTTTTGTCATCGAATGCTTTTATTGCTTCCATCAAGATTGTTTATTTTTTAAATTCTTGTTTACTATGTTATAATGTATTACAATTACTGGGTTTGTTGTTGTTTTGTTTTGTTTTTGATTTTGTCTTGTTTTGTGACTCTGGTGGGACTCGAAACAATTACTGGTTTTTAATATTGATGTAATCTTTCAATCTTGGGATAGATTCAACATGGTCATGGTATATTATCCATTTTAAAGTGTTGCTTTACTTTATGTCCTAAAATTGTGTTAAGGTGCTTTTTTTAAAAAAAGTTCATGAGGTATATTAGTCAACACTTTTTTTTTTTTTTTGCAAACATTTTATCTTATTTTGGTGTCAGAGTAATGAAGTCCCCATAAAATGCATAAGCAATATTTCTGTTTTTTAATTTTCTGGAAGAGTTTTTATGTAAACTTGGTATTATTCATTAAATATTCAGTAGAATATTTCGGTGAAGTAATTTTTCCAGGATCCTTGTCAGAAAGATTTTAACTAAGAAGTCAATTTCTGAACAAGATAGAAAGTGTTCCATTTCTTTTTGAGTATGGTTTGGCAATGCACGTTTTTCAAGGAATCTATCCATTTAATCAAAACTATCAAACAGGCCAAAAAATGTTCATAACAGCTTTTTATTTTTTCCTTTAAACTTCTGTAGTGCATATAGTATGCCCATTCCTTCCTCCCTCACTCAGTTACTGAGGAAAAAAACTACATTTTTCAACTATAATTGTGGATTTTTCTATTTTTCCCTTTAATTCCACCAGCTTTTGCTTGAATGGTTAGTATTTACTGCATTTACAGTTAAGATTGTTATGTCTACTTGATGGATTTTTTTTCCATATCATTATGGGATGTTTCTCTTCGTCCCTGGTAATATTACTTGTTCTGACATTTATCTCATCTGATACTAATAGAGCCTCTCACATTTTCCTTTGCTTAAGATTTGGATGATACACTTGTTTCTGTTTTATTACTTTTAATTTATGTATGTCTATGTTAAGTGGATTTCTTATAGAAAAATATAGTCGGATATTGCTTCTATGTCCTATATGTAGTGTTATCTTTTAATTGGAGGCTTTAGACTTTTTATACTAATGTAGTGCTTGATGATGGCTGGAAATCTAAATCAGTCATCTTGTTACTTATTTCCTATGTATTCTAATGTCTTTTGCATATGTCTAAATATTTCTTTTGCACTCTTTTTCTGCCCTTTTTGCATTAATTGAATATATTTCTATGATTCATTTTTATCTAAACTACTGGTTAAGTCATACAGTGTTTTGTTTCATTAATATCTTTCCGTTGTTGATCTCTATGGCTTACAATATACACCTTTAACTTACAATATACACAGAGTAGTATACCTTTTCATATAAATCCTTCCTTTTTCATTTTCCATAGTTTTATTTTTTAGTCATACATCTTATTTCTAAATTTCATAACACTGCAATGCCTTGCTGCTATTAAGTTTCTAGACACTCCTTTTTCTTTTAAAGAGATTATGAATAGGAAAAAGTCTTTCATGTTTATACATATGTATTATTTCTGCAGCTCTTTATTTCTTTCTATTTTTCCAAATTTCTATTGGGTACCATATTTTTTTTTTCTTTCTGAAAAACTATATTAACATTTTCTCATAGTTTAGATCTATTGACAATGATATTACTCAAGTTTGGGTTTTCTGAAAAAGTCTTGCCCTTACTTTTGTGATATTTTCACAAAATGTAGTAAAAAATTGTGCATTTTCATGTTTTTCATTCAAAACTGTAAAATGCATAGCTCTTTTTCTTCTGATTTGCATAGTCTTTGGTGACAAGTCTGTTATTATTTTCTCTGCATTCCTCTGTGTCTACATAAATTTCTTCTTGTATCTCTGGATATCTTCAACATTTCTCTGATCTTTTTTAATTTTTAGTAGTTTACTTTTGATAGACTTGATATATATATTAAGTCCTGCTAGGTTCTCTTTGAGAGATTCGGTTTTGTTGTTTGCTTCCTTTCATTAATTTTGTGAATTTCTTGGTCTTTCATCTTCAAATATTTCTTCTCTCATTCTATCTCTCTTTTTGCTTTAAAATTCCAACTAAATGCACATTAGACCTTTGGACAGAGATCATAGGTTGTTTATCTTCTCTCTTCTTTCTCTCTTTGTTTCAATCTGGAAAACATGCACTGGCCTGTCCTTAACTTGATCATTTTTTCCTCTGCTGTGTGGAGTTTTTGGCATGCCTATCAAAGGAATTTTTTAATCTCTAACATTATTTTCTGCCATATTTGACGCCTTTTATAGCTCCTCTCTCTCAATCCTCTCTCAAAGTCTCACTGCTCTCTCAAAGTCCCCATCAGTTCATGAATATTTTGCACAGAAGACCACTGTAGCTTATTACTCATTGCGAGTTTTCTGATGAGGAAGTTTTGTGTTGTTTATGTTTTGGTCTTTTTTGTTTCTATAGAGGTGTGCTGTCCATCTTTGGTCCTTGTCAGTCCTTGAGCTCTGAGCTTTAGAAACAGGGCTCCTGGGTGACTCAGTCAGTTCAGCGTCTGACTCCGGTCATGATCTCACAATTGGTGAATTCGAGCCCCGCATTGGGCTCTGTGCTGAGAGCGCGGAGCCTGCTTGGGATTCTCTCTCTTTCCTTCTCTCTCTGCCCCTCCTCACTCTGTCTCTCTCTCAAAAATAAGTAAACATTTAAAAAAAGAAAAAAAGAAAGAAGTACGGCCTTCTCACCATCCCACACCCCTGCTCACTAGGCCATGAAACTCTGCTCTGTGTCAGCGGGGCTTCTGGGGGCACAGTGAGTTCCTGTCCCTCTGCGATGCAGAGGTGCGTCCCTGCGGGGCTTGGCTTTACTTCCCTTGGAAGCAGGTAGATTTTACTTTGGGTAACAGCAGGGGGGAGGCACACAGGGTTTCCTCAAGGGGGAGGGGCACAGGGTTTAGTCCTCCTCCAACAGCTGATGACCTTTCCCCGGGACTGTGCGGCAAGAGCGCCCCCTGGCTCACCTTAGGAGAGAAGGGCTCACCTGTGCGCCGTTTCGTGCCTGTCCTCGCGGCGGCTGGTCAGCATCCCTGTGTGCACACACTTGAAGATCGCCGGTCTTTAAGGAGCCGGCGGCTGTAGAAAACAGCGGGCAAATAGTCGCCACCTTCTTTGGCGTCAGGGACCCCCACAGATCCCATCCTGCTATACAGGCACACGCGCTGCTCTCAAGACTCCTGAAAGTGAAGAACGTTTTCCCGGCTGATACTATGTCACCCCTTCCTCCCTGCTCCACCAGAGACGATGCAATTCACAGGCCCCTCTGCGCTCTGAGGACTGGCACTTACTGGAGTTTAGCTCACCTGACGGCTTGCTGACTTGGGCTCTCTGATGGGCTACAAAACTGTGTACATTTATGGTTGACCTGGCTACTCCCCACTGTTTGCATAGGATCAGTGTGTTACTGCATCTGCATCCTCAGTGGAAGCGAAAATCCTGCCGCATCACCGTCACAGAGATAAGTACAAGCGTGCCTAAATGGCAACCATTCTAAGGAAATCGTCTCGTGTTACCAGTGATGGCTTTGGGCACACTTCCCCTTTTTGGTCTCTTCCAGGTAAATCTGGCATAAGAATTGTTCAGTCAGACACGCCTCAAGTTCAATTCCTTCTGAGTTGGATATTATCAATGTTTTCAAACTTCTTTAGATTTTGTTATTTCAGACTTGGGGTTAGGAGTCTTTAAATCTGTTCTCTTGACCTTTCTCCTGTTCTTGCTTGCTCGTTTGTTTGTTTACATATTAACTATTCACTCACATCAGTATATTACCACGATATCTTCCAGTTGTTACATTGACTTAAACCCTGGTGCTCTACAGCATGTGTAGCCTGTATTAGTGCTACAGCTTCTCATGAAAACCAAGCTTAGAGTAAATATAGAGACATGATACGTTATGTTCCATCTAAGCCTCCTCATTGATTCTGAAAAGCCATGGGCATGAGATCCAATGACAATTTTTATTGTTAGTGCTATATGCAAAAAAAGAAAAAGAAATAAAAGTAAAAATAAAAATGCTTGTTTTTGGAAGATTCTACAAACGTCCATGGCATTTCTATAATGCAAAGAATTCTTGGGAAACTAAAATTAAAAACACACATACACACACAATTTCTGCATACTTTAAAAAGAGTAAATGGGGGCATCTGGGTGTCTCAGTTCGTTAAACATTCGACTCTTGACTTCAGCTTAGCTCATGATCTCATGGTTTGTATGATCAAGATCTGTGTCAGGCTTGGTGTGCTGACACTGTGAAGCCTGTTTGGCATTCTCTTTCTCCCTGTCTGTGCCCCTCCCTCACTCATGCTGCTCTCTAAATAAATAAATAATAAATAAATAAATAAACTTAAAAAAAAAGCTATAGGGAGTTCTGGGTGGCTCAGTGCGATAAGCATCCAACTTCAGCTCTGGTCATGATGTCACAATCTGTAAGTTTGAGCCCCATGTCAGACTCATTGCTGATGGCTCAGAGCCTGGATCCTGCTTCCGATTCGGAGTCTCCCTCCCTCCCCTACTCGTGCTCTGTCTGTCTCTCTCTTTCTCAAAAATAAACATTAAAATTTTTTTTAAAAATTAAAAAATCTAAAAAATATAAAAAGAGGAAATGAAGTGAACAGACTTTAGGTTCAAAGGAAGTGTGGACATTCTCTTGAATGACATGCGAAAGAAACATGGTGGTTTTGATGGAATTTATAACAATTAATATAAGAACAAATTATCAAAACACATTTACCATTAGATTTGCCATTTCTTTTCTTTCCTCTTTATTTTGAATCAATTTTACCTTACACAAAAATCGCAAGACTAATGCAAAGAAGTGTTTTGTCCTGAGCCGTGTGAGAGTATGTTGCCAGCAATATGCCCTACAAACATGCAAATACTTCCGTGTGTGTGTGTGTGTGTGTGTGTTTCACAAACCACATAGTCCTACACGAGTATGCACAACCATGAAACAAAGACATTGGCAATGATGCTTCACAACCCGCTAATCCGCAGCCCTCGTTCAGGTTTTAACCTGACCAGTTGTCCCAGAAATGTCTTTGTAAAGAACCCAACCCAAGATCACACCTTGCCCTTGGTTTTTCATCCTTCCCTGGTCTCCTTTACACAGGAACATCTCCTCAGTCTTTCCCAGATCAGCACGTCCACTTTTGATGGTAACAGCACAGCTCTGTCTAGAATGCCTGTCATCTGGGTTTGCCTGAGTGTCTTCATGGTAAGCATGTCCTTCAAGGCAAGCATTGTAGCAGGAAGTTGCAGAAGGGATTCTGTGTTCTTCCGGTTGCATCCTACCAGGTGGTGCGCCATTGAATTTGGTGCCTTCCTTGTGGTGTTCATTTTAATTACATGATCTACTTCAGATGGCCTCTGCCACGTTTTCTAGGACGTGGAATTTAAGACCTGGGCACAAGTGGCTCCCTGATTCAGGAGGCCACTGCTCACAATCTTCCGCATTTCCATTGTTCTTCATTCTCTCCTGAAGATTCACGTTTCTGCTGGGTGAAAGTCATCCTCCACATTGGAGAAAGGGCTGGAAAGCCCTGGAGATGCGGCTTGGTTCTCAGGTGGCCTTACAGGTGCAGCGTCCAGAACTCTGTGGCAGCTGAGCTGGCTCAACTCTTCTGGGCACAGGAGGGGAACGTAGGTAGTGAGACTCTGAGCCCCGGGCACCTGAGTGGGACAGCTGTGCGGGGACTGCAGCCAGTTGCCTGCAGCCAACTCCCCAGCTTTGCCATTTCTTAATAATAAGAAACACTGGGGTCTGGAACTTGCTAGGCCAACTCATATTTTGCCCTAATTTTGAAAAAGTAGGTGCTGATCTTCAAAAAATGGCATGCTGTCATTAGGACACTAACTTTGTTTTTAATTTTTTTTAAATGTTTTATTTATTTCTGAGAGAGAGAGACAGCATGAGCAGTGGAGGGTCAGAGAGACAGTGAGACGTAGAATCCGAAGACAGGCTCCAGGCTCTGAGCTGCCTGCACAGAGCCCCACGCAGGCCTTGAACCCACAAACCGTGAGATAATGACCTGAGCCAAAGTCTGACGCTTAACCGACTGAGCCACCCAGGCGCCCCAGGACACTGACTTTGAAAGCATTCATACTTAACTTCCGGTCAGCTGAAGGTTATTTGTAAACACGAAATTCTTTAATTAATATCTTCCTCATTTTGTTCCGTTAGCACTCCATTAGAAACATAATTTATAAGAGCATTCACTAGTACTTTAAGATGATGCATGAAGATTCAATAATATTACTTAAATTTTCAGGAGTTAAGCTAATTTTTTCAGCTTTTTAGTTTAACTTTTTTGTGGTAAGTGCTTTCCTTTACCTTCCACATGTGTTTAGAAACTTATGTAAAAGGAAAGATAACCTTGGATTTTGGGACTTAACTTCAAAGAGTTTGTGTTTGTAAAACCAATCATTTAATTGTTTCAGCTTTTAAAATTGTTATTTACTTGTACTTTTAGGGGTATGTGGATATGAGAAGCAATGAGGATGGGTTAGTTAAAACTATCTGTAAACACTGCACATTTAAAGCAAAATAATTGGAATTAAATTTCCTTTGTATATCTGCATTGAAACATTTCATTTCTGGAAATAGTCTTTGCTCTTTTAGATTGCAAAGTGAATTTTTGTGAAATAGGTGCGTTAAAGTAAGTTAATGATTTCAACATTTTATGATATTTAATTAAACATAAAGGTCTTGGGGAGCCTCGGTGGCTCAGTTGGTTAAGGGGCCGACTTTGGTTCAGGTCATGACCTCACAGTTCATGGGTTCCAACCCCACATCAGGCTCTGTACTGACAGCTCAGAGCCTGGATCCTGCTTCAGATTCTGTGTCTTCCTTTCTCTCTGCCCCTCCCCTGATCACAGTCTATCTCTCTCTGTCTCTCAAAAAATGAATAAAAACGTTAAAAATTAAAAAAAATAAACATAAAGGTCTTACAATAATTTCTCATAGGGTCAAGATGACTTCTAACAACTATGCATATAATGATTGGCAAATCACATGACCTTGTATTATTTTAGTGATGCAGGTCAGGTCTCTTATAAAAAGATTTGGCTCATAGAGTTAAGGAAAACATGTAAACTGATGTTACTGAAAGAGATGTACAGTTGTTATTTGGTTTTCAAAACAAATACTTTATTTTAATTGCATGTATATAAAAACATGAATACTTATCAGTCCTTAGTCTGCAATCTGATGTATGCACCTAACCTAAGTGAACGTTTGCATATATGAAAGATCTAGAAGACGAGACGTGTCCTGCCCTTGAGCATCAGAAGACATTTTCCTGACCTCTCTTCCTACATTAGAAGTGCTGTTATTTTGAAGCCCTTGGTCCGATTTATTTTGCTTGTAGAAATCATTAGCTTTGACCTTACTCCTTCAACCTGATATAGGAAAACACTTTGCATTTCCTCTATTAGCAAAGCAAATTTTTCTTCCCTTAAAAAAAAGTTTACATTAAGTTGTATTTAAGTTTACAAACATTTACAAAAAATCATACAGTGATTTTTCATATGCCGTGGGCCAGAGTCATGTTCCGTTCTGCACCATTCTCAGTATTTGGTGTTGGGAGGGTTCTTGTGTGTGTGTGTGTGTGTGTGTGTGTGTGTAAAATTAAAATAAGATACCACTAAATATCTATTAGAATTATAATTAACAATATAAACATAATACATATATTATTATGTAAAGTATACAATGAGATAAACATATATTTATTATATAATTATATATTGCAGAATATGTAAATATATGTGATACCATATTTGTACATAATAACATATATAATTAGAATATGATATAGTAATATATGAAACATATTTAAATCTTTAATTTCTTTATATATGTAACGAAACCATATATAAATATATGTAATTATGCATAATTACAATATTATAATTATATATATTTCTAAGAGATGTTTAGTGGTATCTTATTTTAATTTTAATTTGTATTTCTTTAGTGTTAATGACGTCAATTATCTTTTTATATGATTATCATCAATATACCTTTTTTGGTGAAATATCTACTTAGTTTTTTAATTGAGCTTTTTCCCGATTGTTGAGTTTTGTGAGAGTTCTTTATGTATTTTAGATACAAGTCTTCTGTAAGAAATGTGATTTGCAAATACATTTTCTCAGAGGCTTGTCTATTCAATTTTTTAATTGTCCCTTTTACAAGCAAAAATGTTTTTGGATAAAGAACAATTTTTTTTTAATATGGTTTGTGCTTATGGAGTCATGTTTAAAATTTCTTTCTGTTACATAAGGTCACAAAGTATTTTCCTGTGGTTCTTCCGGAAGTCTGTAGTTTTAGGTTTTGGATCATTTTTCCCTTTAAAGTGTATTGTCCTTTAAATGGCCATTTGAACTTTACTTATGTAAATTTAGGCATAGAAAACAAATGAAAGGGTAGATTTTCTTCAATGTGGAAGACAATCTAAATTTGAAAAATGCTTAAAAATGATCTAGTTTAATAATAAAAAAAGATTCTTTTATTATTCTTTTTATTATTAAAAGAAACTATGGTTGTGTTCAACCTTGCTTGGGTCCTATGATACTAATCATCCTCTGACCTAAATAAGCCAGTTTTGCTGTGTAGACTTTGGGCGGCCACTGTGTTCACTGTGCTGGATTGAAATACTTACGAGAAACAGATCAAAATCCTGTTTTCTAGAACTGTATATAAATGGTTCTGCCTTGGCAAATGAAATGAGGAAGTACTTCCAGACTGTCTGACAATGGTCCATGCAAGGGCATGGAGAACCAGGCCTCAAGTCCAATCTGTAGAAAGGAAGATGAAGGGTGCCCCCGTGGCTCAGTTGGCTAAGTGTCTGACTTTGGCTCAGGTCATGATCTCACAGATTCTGAGTTCAAGCCCCACGTCAGGCTCTATGCTGACAGCTCGGAGCCTGGAGCCTGCTACAGATTCTGTGTCTCCCTCTCTCTCTGCTCCTCTCCAGCTTGCTCTCTCTCTGTCTCTCTCAAAAATAAATAAACATTTTAAAAAATTAAAAAAAAAGAAAAAAAAGAAGAAGTAAAGATGCCACCTGCTGACGGCAAAATGTTTGGGGAAAAACGGGTCACCTTCCTATCTCCTTTTCACCTTGGGAGGTTGAAGCCTGGGATGCGTGTTACCCACCACAATGAAACTTCCCACCAGATAAGCTTCCTATGGTAACTTTGCCACAGTCGAACGAGAGCCCTGCAAACACGCTGCCCCCGGAAGGCAGGAAAGATCTTTGCTTTGGCACAGGTGGCTGTAGAAGTCAGCAATTTGGAAACAGATTGGAAACAAATGGTTTCTGAGCCCCCATCTCATGATAGTTACCTGTCCTTTGGGATAAATGAGTGCAAGAGACACAGCAACCCCACGGGGGTGGGGGGTGGGGGTGAGACTGTAGGAATGGTCGTACCTGCCCCTCTGGGTGTACCACGCTTCTGACCCTACTGTCCTGGAAGAGTGTTTCACCATGATCCGGAATCGTGGTGGTGTGTGTCAGGGTTGAGTCCCCATGACCCAAGATCTCTGAGAGACTCGAGTGAGACAGACCTCACTGTTTGGTCCCGCAAGAATAGGAAGGTTGAGTTGAAAGCTGCTGAGGTGTTTAAAGCACTTGTTTCCAAGCCCCTTCTAGCTGATAATGCCCTCAAAGTGGAGAGGGCATTGTCATGGGGAGACAGGGCCTTAGGGAAATGGCAAGTAGGTGGCTCGGGGTGGTGGGGGTTGGGAACAAAGCAGGAAGAAGGAGGGTGAGTGTGATTTCAAATAATGGGGTGGTCAAGGTGGGTCTCATGAGAGGATTGCTTTGAGTGAAACTGTATCTTCTACGGTTTAAATAGAACTTTTTTTTAAGTTTATTTATTTTTGAGATAGAGCGTGAGGGGGGAGGGGCAGAGAGAGAGGGAGAGAGAGAACCCCAAGCAGGCTCCTCGCTGTCAGCACAGAGCCCAACGCGGGGCTCGATCTCACCAGAAGTGAGATCGTCACCTGACCAAAATCAAGAGTCAGACGCTTAACCAATTGAGCCACCTAGGCGGCCCAAAATAGAATTTTTGTTTCCTCCATTCCCACCCCCAATTTCTGATTAATAGCATCACATTTAATATACTAAATAGTCTATTTCTTTCTTTGTACTTGGCTATTCTTTCTCTCTGGAGCAAGTATATATTGGACATCTACCAAGTGTCCTGCATGTATGAGGCACCGGGGATGTTGGACAAGACATACAAATGTCCTGTGGTCCCAGCTCAGCGTCAGAAGTGGGCAAAGCTGTCCTCACGTGGACTCCCTCTCATGGGCTGGTTGGGTCCTGCTCCCAAGCTCTGTTGACTTGGGGACCTTGGTGGCTGCCAGGAGGCTGTGCCTTCTTCAGCACCCGGTGCTCAAGAGTTAATTTTTAACTGAATAAAATAACCCTGGCCCTGGCCTCACTGTAGTGAGTCGGTGTACAGGACCAGCCCTAGCTTTCCCATGTCAATCAGCCAAATCATTAAAAATAGGCCCCTTGAGGTCTGATCTGCAATTAGTTACTAGTCTTTTTTTTTTTTTTTTTATTTTACTCCCAGCCCACTTAGCCTGCCCCAGACTGCACAGTACGGTAAGGAAGAGGTGGTATTGTCCAGAATAAAACTTCATTTCATTTCCAGTGTGCATTCTGTTTGGTGGTTCAGTCCCTTCCTGTTGGGTTTCACTTAAGTTCTGGAGACCAATGGGATCATTTCCCTTTCCCCCAGGCAGGCTGTGCCTCTGGGCACGCCCCATGGCTTCTTCAGGTCTGTCTGCTCAGCCATCAGTCACAGGCTCATGCGATCTTCAGGAGCAAGACAAGCCGGGTGAGTGTGTGAGAAAGTAGGGGTGTATGGTAGTGATGGGGAGGGCTGGGGACAGAGTGAACTGGACACTAAGAACTTGAAGGGTCCAAAGTCAAGATTTTTTAAATTTACTTATTTCTTTTGACAGAGAGTGTGGAAGGGGTAGAGAGAGAGATACAGAGAATCCCAAGCAGGTTCCACGCTGTCAGCACAGAGCCCGATGTGGGGCTCAAACTCACCAACCAGAAGATCATAACCTGAGCTGAACTCGGATGCCTAACTGAGCCACTCAGGAGCCTCCAAAGTCAAAATTCCTCAACGCCCTGCTGCTAAAACAATAAATGCACCTTCAAACCAGGGGCTGAATCTGAGAATGCTGCCCCCACCCGCCTACCGCCCGACGGCAAAGCCATTCTCGCTCAGGTGTCTCGCCGTGTGTGTTCAGATCTCCCGAATTCATGAGCTGGTCTGGTGTTTCCTCACCGCCCTCCCTTCCGTCAGACTTAGATTGGGCAGGGCCCCCAAGATGCTGGGCCCATTTCTCAGAGGCCCCGGCATCTGCACTTCCCCATCCCCTTTCAGAGTTCTTTCTCCCGCCCCCGGGATGCTGAGCGCTTGTCTCGTGCGCGTGTCTAACGAGGGGAGGGGGTGCGCACCATGGGCAGCTTTGCCCTGAACTGTCCCACCCAACTCAGAACTCAGGCCGTGGCCCCAACCTCAAGTGGGAACAGGCGTAACCTGTCACCGCGTTGTTCTCGGCACTTCCTCTGCGTCTCTTTCCGGAGGAAGTGACGTCTCTGCACTTCCTCTGCGTAGGAGGAAATGACGCAATGCGCCCCCAGCTCTGACTTACGAATTGCGGACACGTGTCACGTGCGCGGCTCGCCGGCTTCGGCGGGCTTCAGACTCCATGCATTCGATACCCCCAATCACGTAGAAAACATCGTACTCTTCTGAATTCTCTAGGATCCCGATTCTAACAAAGAGAAAACGATCCTATCGGTGCCCTTCATCCACAGAATCACTCAGGGACACACACGATTACTCTTCTCCGAGCCCAGCGTCGGGGCACCGATTCAGGCTTCCCTGGGAAGAGGAATTAGAGAGAATTTAATAGTTTCTGTTTTAATTTGGTGTATTGTTTGCTTAACTTGTGGACTGTGCTTTCCGTTTCAGTTTGTCACGTCAAATTTCCTTTAGAAATAATTTTCCATTAAATAAATGAATTCATTGAGGAAACAAAGATACTCATTTATAAGAGTCCAGGTTGTTCACTGCGGTGGTAAAAAAAATCATGCGTGCGGTGGGGGCGATGACTACAGTTTTGGGAACTACTGTCCTAGCCGCCTGTCTGGGAAGACCACCTTGATGAATACTTCCAAATGCCATCTGTCCACAAGAATGAACCTAAATTTTCTGTCTTTGGAGACGAAGATGTTTTAAATTCTCTGTTCCAAGAAATCTCTTCTTACCGTTTAAGAACACGTGTAGCTGGGCCGCCTGGGTGGCTCAGTCCGTTAAGCGTCCGACTTCGGCTCAGGTCATGACCTCGCAGCTCATGAGCTTGAGCCCCTCTGGCTCTGGGCTCACAGCTCGGAGCCTGGAGCCTCCTTCGGATTCTGTTCCTCCCTCTCTCTGCCCCTCTCCCCGCTTGAATTCTGTCTCGCTCCATCTCTCTCTTCTTTCTCTCTCTCTCTCTCTCTCAAAAAAAAAAAATTAATAAATAAAAAGAACACTTTTAGCTAATCGTTGTCCATCTCTTACACAGTTAGGTTCACAGGTTGGTCCAAATCCTCTCCATTTGCTGCAAGGTGACCCCGCAACATGCTGGTGACCACTCCCCCACCATAGAGAGAACAGAGTTGGCCAGAGTGGGCTTCCGGCATATTCCACTGCTGGAAGGAGGCACCGAAATCAGCCCACATCTCTCACCAACTTGAAGTGACAGTTCTTTCTCCTCCCATCTCCCAGGGTTTGATTCCAGCCTTGCTGGGACAGTCGCTCATTACTTGGTCTCTCCTTTAGATCTCCTTCCTTTCTCGTGGCTGTTTTCCAGCCACCCTTCACCCCAAATGACTATCTTAGTGGAGCCTTTCTGCGACTGCACGTACCCTCAGGATAGCGAGCTACTTCCCTCCTTTTCACCTCAGCTCAACTTCCTGAAGACTGGTCTGGAGCCACTGCTTCCTCTTCCGGAATCCTTGCCTCCCTCCCCTGAAAATTCTTGTCCTGAGGCTGCCTCCCACCTCCTCACTGCCCATTGAATGGACGTGTTCATGTTTCCCTTCCTGATCTCACTTACTTCCTCCTCCTCGAACTCTGCTTCCTCTTCCTCTCCTTCTTGGGTGTCGCAAGGCTCTGCTGTTCCTTGCTTTCTGGCATTCTCTTCTCCATCTTATTCATGGATTCCTTCAGCTGTCCGGAAACATATTTCTCACTAGGTCTTCCCTTCTGCGTTGCTCTTCACCAGCCCCTCCGTGACTAAGATGGTTATTATCTCTTAGGTAATTAATTTTAAATCAATATCTACACCACACCTCTGAGTTTCAGACCACATATCCAAATGCCTGCTGAGCCCACTCACTGAAATATACTTGTAAGCATGTCAGACTCAGGATATTTAAAACGGGTAAATCTGCCTTTTTACCAGATTCCTCAAACCTCTTCCTTATTGACCTGACAGCATTCATATCCTCAGGATCCACATCAATACACATGAAGATGATCATTTTGCTTCACACTTACTCTGCACCATTTGTATTCAGTCAGACATAATATTCCGTGATTATTTCTCCAATTCATCCCCCTTTCCTGGCGCCTACCATCACCCTCTCCAATTCAGTCTCAAATTATCATTCTCGTAACTATAAGAATAATGTCCTAATCGGTGTTCTTCTCTTCTTTTCTGCTTCATATATACCCTTCACGTACAACCGCATGAAAATACGGTTGTGCATTCCTTGACTTTTTATTTGCTAGGAGCGCCAGTGACTTGCACGGTAAACTCTAAGCCCCACATGTAACATGGAAGATGCCATGACTTCCCTCGGCCTTCTGTCACAGCCTCACCATTTGAGACTCCCTTGCTCACCTATATGCCCCGCCAATACCAAACTAATGATTGATCCTGCATCCATCATTTTGCTGCCCTGCCCTGAGCCTATCACCATTTCCTTTGTCTGCCTTGATAAACTTTCTTCTTCTTAAAGAATGCACTTGGCTATTACCTCATCTGAGAAGTCTTCCCTGATGCCACCACCACACCCCCAGCCAGTGGGGGTCCTAATCTTTGTGATCCCACTTGACTTTGTACCCAGTTTAGTTTAATCAGAGCATATTCCCACGTGGTGCTGAAATGATCTGTTTATTTTCCTATTTCCTCTTCAGGCAGGGCACTCCCTGGGGAAGGTACTCATTCATCCTGAGTCCTCAGCAAGAGGCTTTATATATAGTAGACACTCGAAAACAGCTTCTTCTTTATAGATGTTCTCTCCTACAATCATATCATTTGAAAACAATGAGGCATTGTTACCACATTGGCGATGGTAAGAACGATTAATTCCAACCTATAAGAAGATATATTTGCAGAAGGAGGAGTCAATGAGTAAAACTTTGGAAACATAACTACATAAATTTTATGTACATCCACACTGGGAACAAGAAAACATATATAATTTATTTTAAATTGCACACTAATAGTTTCTGTAGGCAGAATAGAGGTTAAAATAAGAGGCTGTTAGGACACCTGGGTGGCTCTGTTGGTTGAGTGTTCGACTTTGTCTCGGGTCATGATCTCACCGTTCCTGAGTTCAGGCCCCACGTTGGGCTCTGTACTGACAGCTCAGAGCCTGGAGCCTGCTTCAGATTCTGTGTCTCTCTCTTTTTCTGTCCCTCCCCCAGTCACACTCTGCATCTTTCTGAAAAATAAACATTAAAATTTTTTTAAAATAAAAAGCTTTTAAAATAGGAGGCTACCGTCCATATAAAAATAGATGCAATATTCAAAATGAATAGTATTCACAATAAAGCCCTGAAGAAGACAACCAAGCAAAACAAAGAAAAAATGAGAGACAAGCCTTTATGTAAAGAACTTGACTTTTGATAGGCAATTCTCCTATGAGCTGAAGATTGATTCACTGAAAATACCAGAATATATTTGGAAAATGTTCCTTCTCTGCTATTAGCTGTGTGACAGGAAAATCTTCCTAAATTATCTGAGTCTATTTTATCTTAAATAAAGTGGGGATTAAAAATATCTCCCTCACAGAAAAGTGTCGAGACATACATAGGAAGATATGTATCATGTCCTGGCAGAGAACTTCACCCAAAATTAGTCCTCACTGCAGTTTCATGATGGAATTACAGAGTGAAAAGAAAACTCAGATATTCTCTACCTTTTAAACCAATCTGCCATAAAATCTTTGCATTTAGTACAGAGGGCAGCAACCATTTTCTCTAAAGAGCCAGATACTTCCATTTTTTGTTTTTTTTTTTTTGTTTTTTTTTTGTTTTTTTTTTTACAAATAGTTGATTGTCAAATTAGTTTCCGCGTAACACCCAGTGCTCATCCCCACGAGTGCCTCCATGTTTCCACTGTCCTAACTATTCAATTCTGCCACTGTAGAGCAAAAGCAGCCAATGTGTGTACAAACGGGCAAGATGTGTTGCAATAAAACTTTATTTGAAAATGTAGGCCAGGGACCAGCTTTGGATCGCAGGCCATAGGTTTTGCAAACCCCCAATTTCGTAGAGTAGAAGGTATAAATAGGAGTTAGACATTTTGAAAGATACATTTTTACATTCCTTTTTCTTTGGGTTTAATAAAACCTAGCATCCTATTTACAATTTTGTTCAAATTGCTTACCTCGTGTGTTTTGAAAATAAAGTTACATGCTTTGTTAGTATATTTCCAGACAGAATTAGGAATTTAAGATACACCTATGAAAATCAGTTGTCTTTTGTTCCAAAGGAAGAAGCTACATCAATTCATTCAAAATGAATGTAAATATAGGTCATGTATGTT